AATGAGCATTTGCTTTGGCTGTGGTTCATCAACTTCCATTCACTTGATTAATTAAACAAACTAATTCAAAGAGCTTATCAATGCTACTGTGATGGTTTTAATGATCAAATATGTATTTAAATTGTTTCTTTTTAATTAAAGGTTGTTTTCCAAAAAACAAAAAAAAGAAAGAAGAGAAAAATAAGTAGTATTAGTATAATACAATATTAAATGCAGGTGGTGATGTTTAATTGGACATCAAAGTGTTGATAAATATTTTTTTCTTAAGTCAGTTTTGATACCTATTAATTAATATATTTTTTGTTATGTTGTGTCTAAGGATTCCTATGTAGATAAAGCATATTGTACTATTAATATAATAATTTTGTTATATTCTTTTCATGAAGACATTAAAATCAAATTAAGCCTGAATTACCGTACTTAGTCTAAGCACAGTCACTGAAGGGCACATCCCCCACCCCAAAAAACTGAATTGATTCAATTTGTGTAGTAATTGTTCTTGGTAGACAGTAGTAAATAGTTGCTATATAATTATGGATGGCTATTCTTGATTTGTCTTCATGGTCAGTTGTTTATGCTGGGTCGATTCATTGCTAACATTATTGTCTCAATATGCTTATTACAATATAACATCATCGTATTTGATTCACAATACTCTGTGGTTATTTCGCTGTCGATAGTACCCCGTTTGAGGAAAAGGCAGGGCTTCCTGTCTGTGTGTGTGGTGTAATAGAAAGACGCTTAGTGCTTCTCAATTAAGTAAAACATACCATACCATTTTTAACGTTATATGTAACCACTCACGTACCTTTAAACAGATTCGGTGCAATTTTGACTACTACTACTTGCACCACCATCCCTGAGATCCCCTTCGTTATGTAATGTAGGCATCAGCTTCGACGGAAACTTAATAGGCCTTACTGAGGACTCGTATTTGTTGTTTTCCACAGAGTTGCACATTCTTAAATTTCTTTAAGCTGTTTACGCTTAATGACACAACCATACTGTAGGTTCTTGCAACATGTATCACAAAAATATGCCTGAAACCGGCTCAGATTTATCATTTGAAGAACTTCTGTCCAACGCCATACTTGCAAGTGGGGTGTGTTGTTTACTATTTACATTGGACAAACGGCATAGAAGGTAGTTTGTGATTGGCTGAGGGCCTTGCAGCTAAGCCAAACTTCATTGTTAGTCGTCTTCTGATTGGCTATAGTTACGTAGCAACTTTTGATATAAATTCTCATTTTTGGTTACAGTTTCCCCAAATTCACGATTGCCGACAATCAAATTATGTTACAATTTAATAGTATTGACATTTTTGTGCAAAAGCCAGGTAGCCCGGATTGGTGGGTCACAGAATTGAACGTTTTCGATCCTCAACCCACGGTCTAAAACACGCAGCTACAGATAACAATAATGGCAGAGTGCAATGATGCGTAACCAATGCACCACATAACACAACTCTACTGGCGCGCGGGCTTCGAGATATCAAGTTGATTAAAAATGTATAACTTTATATGGATTGTTTTAAAAAAAGACAAAAAATCAAAATATTAAAAGGAAACATTTTTTTAGGCGAAGGATAATTTATTTTGATATTAACTAACTTCATCTTAGGCGCAGTTTAATTATGATAGATTTAAAAAAAAAATCATATTTAAAGGGCACTTTCTTTAAAAAGGGGGAGGGTCGACCGCACCCATCGACCCCCCCCCCCACGGTACGCCCCTGGGGTAGGGCCTAACAACTTAACACTTTGAGCGCCAAAGACGGAATCTCCGTCTTTGGTAGCCCATCGCTTGAGCGCCAAAGACGGAAATTTCCGTCTTTTGAGTGTTTTTGTAACATTAAATTGATGGACCACGTGTAAAAAATTTGATAATACTTTTTAGGCTAAGCTAGTCTAGGGCCGTGCTAGAAAGTACCAACCAAGATCCCAGGTGAAATCGTAGGCCTAGCCTACGGGCTAGGCGGCCTAGGCCTATATATGCCTTTTTGGCTGTACAATCGTGTAGACCTGGGATAGTAGGCCTAGATTTGTTGAAGGGGGCATAAGCCTAGCCTAGCTATGATTGATTTAATATCTGTTTATAAACATTATTATTATTATTATTATTATTATTATTATTATTATTATTATTATTATTATTATTATTATTATTATTATTATTATTATTATTGATATTGTTTGTACTGCACATTGTTTGTGTTTGTACCGCATATTTTATTACATCTATCTTTTTACAAAAACCTCATTATCTCAGCATTTTGTCCCATTTGAGCTAAATTTACGAAAAAGTAGTCATATTTCCTATCAATTTTTGTACATATTACACTATTCAATGAATAAAACAAATGGTATCATTTTGAAGTACTTGTATTGTTCTTTCTTTTGGTATATAACACATCTGGTTTGAATTAGGTAATTGTTCTCAGGGTCAGTTTGAAATACATTAAAATCTGCTAAAAACACTGGTTTCCCAGTGGATCACTGTAAAAAACATCTGGCGCTCAAAGTGTTAATGTTACTGATTTTAAACTGCACTAAACCTCATACAAAGATGCAGGGGGTGTGTTTATTCAGCTAATTCAAGCGATAGTGGGGTCGATCTGCGTAAGGCCTAGGCCCTTTAAAGTAAAATATCAACGGAAATAAAGCAAAGCTAAAAACTTGTTCGTCATATTTGTCAATGTGCACTCGCATTTTGATTTGTTTTCTATTGTGGCTTATAAATACTGTAATCTATGCTATAAATTGACTATAAAGATTGTTTTACATAAAATCCCGAGTAAAGACATTTTTTCATGTTTAAAAGTCTGGGGCTGAGGTTGACATTTTGTAAGTAAAGATTTCTTTCATTTGTTTTTCCAGAAACAAATAGTATTTCTAGAACCGAAAAGGCACAGAGAACCGGAAATGAATAGCGAGAGTGATGAGAACGAAAGATTGAGAAGTGAATTAAGTAAGGTTAAAAAAGAGTTAGAGACGTGTAAAAGGCAACTGAGAGGAGTCCAGGAAGAATTGGAGCAGTTGAGAATTGAATGCGGAAAAATTGTCTGCCCAGACTGTCAGAATCCGTATGACGAGCACAGACGTATACCTAAACGACTTCCCTGCAACATACATACATGTTGCTTGGACTGTGCAGATAAGGGCGCCGATAGATCCATAGTGCGATGTGCGTTATGCATGAAAGACTATTACTTATTGATTGAAAATCTTGAAACTAACACTGCTCTTATGGACTTGCGATATAAACCTGTACACGACCCGATCGAACAAACAAGTTCTGTTCAGACGCTTGGACACGATTCATTTGTGGCATTTCAAGTCTCATCGGAAGATGAACACGTTCTCACAGATGAAGCGAACCACCCAGCTTGCATCAATCACCAACCACAATCTGCCGATAAGATTTGCATCAAGTGTCTACAAGCTCTGTGTAGTGTTTGCGCAAAGGTTCATTCCACATGTGGGCCTAGCATTCAAGACGTTCAACAAGGAATGGAAGCCTGTAAGGAACGACGGTTAGATTATTCAATGAAAATTGGTGCAGCAATTAAGGCTGTTAGATCAATACAAAATAGTTTTCAGAGAGCTGTGAAAGAGCTGCCATCCCAAGATGAAAGGGTGTCTAAGAATATGAAAGATTTTTACGCCACTTGTCGAGAATTGTTAAATCAAAGAGAAAAACAGATGGAAGAGGGTCATAAAAACGCCATACTTAGCACAAAAATGAGACTTTTGAAAGGTATTGAATCTACAGACCAACTTATTCAAGATATGGTGTCAGAGAAAAGAGAAATTAACAATTTACCAATTGACAGGTTCCCAAATCGTATTCTCAACTTTCTAAAAAATTCTAAAATCCCGGAGTTAATTGCAGAGGCGAAAGATTTGCATTCATGCACAGTCACTTCGGTGATTCCAATGTGGCGTAGACGTGGTAGTATGGTTATGGAAGATGAGAGATACGAGTGTGGTAACCGTAGCATGCGAAAGATAATGCAGTCTGCCAAAGAGGCCCGGGATCATTGCTCAAAGTTTTTCATTCCAAAGGTCGCCCTCTACAAACAAGATTTTAAGCAGACGATAATGTACCTAGGACAACATTGCTCAAGTAATGTCAACCCCAGCCGTTCCACTGCACACAGTCAGTATGCAAATCTCCTAAACAACCATTGCGTGGTGATGGTTCAGACGTATGATTTCATTGGTAACAAAAAAGTAACGGGTGGTGACCTGGTTGAAGGTTGGTTAAAGAGACCAACTGGTGAGACACGGTACGTGCATGTGACAGACAATTTTGACGGTACCTATGTTATAAAGTTTGTACCAAGTATGTGTGGCTTATATTGTTTATTTGTCGAGATATTTAGTGAAGGTATAAAAAATATGCCATTACAGATTAAGATCGTAGATAAAGGTCTAACAAATGATGGTACATTCTTCACAGAAGACTTTCCAGCATTCCATCACGTTGTTAGCATAGCAGCAGATACAGATGACGATTGTGTTTACATACTAGAACACAATTCTAAAGAACTCTGGGAAATCCACCACATGCATCTAAATGGAACCCCAATTGGACATTTTGAGTTGAATCAAATGAATGTTGGTGATCTGGAAGAAGATGAGCTCATTATATTAAAACGGCAATTCTGTAAACAAGGACTAAGACACTACGAAGAGTATATCATTGTCCTTTGTTCGAAACAAAAGAAAATACATACATTGTCGATGGACGGTAAAGTAATACAGAGTCTCCCCATCGAGCAGACTCATTCTCCACACGCTTTGGACGCAGATAGTTTCAGACTATACGTAGGGGACTACCGACAACAGAGTATATTCGTATTTGAGGGTAACGGTGAACCGGAGCAGATCAAACTGGAAGCAGAGTACCTCCCGCCTAATGGTGATGTCATGAAATTCAAATTCGATACCCCGTTCCTTATGGCAGTAAGTCAAGAGGACGATGGTGATTTATTTGTCG